GATATTGATGAGGATGTTATTAGTAGAATTCAAGTTGGTTGGTTGAATGCTTCAGGTGCTTCAGGTCTATTATGTGATAGAAAAGTACCGCTTAGACTGAAAGGAAAATTTTATAAGATGGCGGTGAGACCTAAATTGCTTTATGGCGCTGAATGTTGGCCTCTAAAAATTAAAAGAAAAGCATAAAACTAAGTGAAGTGTTGCCGAGATGAGAATAATTAGGTGGTTGAGTAGCTTTACAGTTAGAGACAAAATGCGAAATGAATATATCCGTGATAGGGTTGGTATAGCTCCAGTGACAGACAAAATTAAAGAGAGTCGTCATAGATGGTTTGATCACATTAAACGTCGACCATCTGATGATCGGATTAGAAGAGTTGATGTTTTAGATTCGATTTATGTTAAGAAAGACAGAGGTAGACCTAGGAAGATTTGGACATATTGCATAAAGAATGATCTTAATTTATTAGAACTAACTGAAAATTTGACACTGAATAGGACACAATGGAGAAAGAGGATTCATGTAGCCGACCCCACTTAGTGGGATAAAGGTTTTGTTGTTGTTGTTTGTTCCATAAAGGAAACCTTTTAAAGCATGTAATAATCACTCAAAACCACATTAAGTGTAATATGGAATGGTAGAGATAAACATTCACTCTTAAGGTTTATAACAATGATGGCGGTCGAGAGCTGCCACACCTTCTCGAGGGAGCACATTCTTCAGATATCAGAATATGTGGTATGATCATCCAGATTTTATTAACATTATTACTCCTAATTGGCAAGGAATTGAACATTCCAACCCACCCTTTGGTTAAACTCTGGCAACTACAAAAGAAAGTTGGTAAAGCTCTCAAAGAATAGAATTGGTCTACCTTTGGTGATGTTTTCAACATGGTTGATCAAGCTGAGAAGGACTTAGTGGCTTTTGAAAGGGCTGCAGCTCTTGGCCTAGTGGATGAAGCCTCCCTGTGGGATGCTAATGAGAAGCTCCTTACTGCTACTGCCTAGCATGATAGTTTGCTTAGACACAAGGCCTCACTCAGCAGATTTTTGGATGGGGACAGAAATACTAGATATTATCATGCCTGTATTAAGTATTAAAGGAATTGTAGTGTCATCCACAGTATCCAAAACTTTAATGGGAGATGGCTACATGATGCCACTGATATTGCCCAGGATGCTATGACTTTTTTCCAACATTTACTGACCAATCCGACTTCTGCTAGAACTCAAATTGATCAGGATCTTTTCCAGGATGACTATTCTTATGCTACAGAGTTGAAACTTGCTGAAATTCCTTCGAGGATGAAATTTGGAATGCTTTAAATTCTGTTGACAATGGTAGGACTGCTGCTCCTGATGGATTTTCATTAGATTTTTATAAGAAAATCTGTCTGATTATTAAAGGTGATGTGATCAAGTCTATACAGTATTTTTTCATTGGGAATGATCTCCCCAATTATTTATGTTCTTCTAACATTGAGCTCATCTCCAAAACAACTGAGAAAGCACATTGGAGCCACTTCAGGCCTATTAGCCTCACTAATGTTGTAAGCAAAATTATTAGCAAGATTATTGTGGGAAGGTTACAACCTCACCCAGCTCACTTAATTAGACATAATGAAGCAACATTTGTTAAAGGCAGAAGTATAGTTGATAATGTTTTATTAGCACAGGAGCTACTCATTAATATTGACAAACCTTGCAGAGGGGGGAACTTAATTTACAAACTTGATTTGTGGAAGGCTTATGACACCATAAACTAGGCTTTTATCCTGGAAACATTGAGGGCCAGTGCAATCTGTTCTCCAGGTGGATGCAAGGCGATGTACATTCAATACTCATCAATGGGAGGACTCATTGTCAGTTTACTGCCACATGGGGCTTAAAGCAAGGGGACCCTCTCTCTCCAACTATCTTCGTTCTTGCTCTTGACTACTTGTCCAGACTCTTGGACAGCTCTCTCATCCACGATTCATATTCCAGGTATCACCACAGGTCAAGCTTGCCAGTCAGTCACCTCATCTATACAAATGATAGCATCCTTCTCCAGAGTAAAAAAAAATGCTGTCAAGAAAATTCAGCAGTGTCCTCTTCCAATAGACCTTTGGAATGACATTCAATTATGAGAAATGTAACATGTTCTTTAGCAGTAGAACCAACTCCAACATCAAACAATGGATCATTAGCTTCACTGGTTTCGCACCTGCTTCTACCCCTTTTAAATATTTAGGAGTCTCTCTAATCAATGGTAGAGCCAAGCATGTCACTTTGATGAAGTTTTTGGTAAAATTGATACGCAGCTTAATTGCTGGACGAACTCATTTTTGTCTAATGGGGGCGGAATAACTCTTTTAAAGAGCAAATTAACCACCTTCCCAACTTACATTCTTCAGATGAATGGCATGAAAAAGAGTACACAACTTCACTTAAAGAGATGCTTCAATAGGTTCCTATGGTTTGGGCAAAGAAAACAACTTCATTGGGATAGCTGGAAGAAAGCGGCTAGACCTATCATGGCTGGTGGCCTTGGTTTCAAAGGATTAAAACAATTACAATGCATCAAACTTTGTAAACTCTGGATCAAATTGAGATAGTAAGACTTTCTCTGAGCTAAATCTATGCTGGGCAAATATTGTAAGGGCCTTCATCCCATCATGCTTTCCAGGAAACTTGGGGACTCGAAAGTCTAGGTCAGACTACTAAATGTCACGCAGCAAGCCAAACAACTCTTTTTGTGGGACCTGGGCGGTGACAAACTTCATTTTTGGCTGGATAAGTGGTGTCCTGATGACATCTTACAACCAAGATTTGATAATTTCAACCCCAACCTCAAGGTGGTTGATTGCTGGTAGGGGGACCAGTGTTCCATTGATATTTTGTATTCTCTGTTAGATAACAACTATGATGAATACCTTTTCAGGTTGCCATTTGATAGGACCCAGAAAGATAAAATTGTTATGCTAGCCAATCAAATACAGAGCCTAACCAAAGCAATCTACTCTAAACTCTATCATTGGGAACCTGTCCCCTAGGGTGATTGTGTGTGGAACAAATTCCTTACACCTTCCATGCCTTTTCTGTGTTCGAGAATTTTTCATAAGCTATTGCCCACAGATGATATTCTCAAGGCTGCTGAGGAATTTTCTGCCCACATCTTCTTTGAGTGCCAGTTTTCCCAGAATGTCTGGTTGGAGCTCATCTAAAACCTGGAGCTTAACACACTGCTGTTAAAGTAGACACATCTTACTATCTATTGGAACAACTAGAACACAACTAAACATGGTACTATCCTCTTCATCATTGCTTGGTTCATATGGAAGACAAGAAATCAATTTAAATTTGACGGCATGTCTCCTACTGTATTGCATGTGGCAGCCAACTGCAGGTCATTTCTTATCAAACTGATTAAGCACAAGAAGTTCTCTAGTATCTGCAATATGAGGAAGACCAACCGTTCACCTAGCCTTGCTTTCATTAAAGTGTGTTGGAACAGGCCTGTTTATCCTATCATTAAGGTTAATACTGATGATAGCTTCACTACCAATGGTGCTGGCATTGGTGGTGTGTTCAGGGATCACAGAGGCAAATGTATAATTTTTTTCCACTCCCCTGCAGCTGTTTTGGATGCATGGGAAGCTGAAGTAGCTGTTGTGTTTTGGGCCATCAAGTTGGCTACCTTAAACCATTGGGCTACTCTACAAGTGGAAATAGATTCTTCTTTACTTTTACAAGCACTCACTAAGGCTGGGAGTTCCCCATGGCATATCTTACAATGGATCAAGCAGATTCACTCATTGTGGGCTCAAACATCTATCCATTTCTCATTCATTTATAGGGAGGGGAATTGACCAACACACTGCCTGGCCTAACAGGGTTGTGAGTCTCAAACTATTTTTGTTTCTTCTATTCCCTGTCCTTCTCTCAGTTTTTTGTTGAATGGGGACCTTTTGAATGAGGTTGGTTGGGAGGCTCGTATAATAGCCTCTGGTCAATCTTTAAAAGAATATATATATATACGTGCCTTCCATATATATATATATATATATTTTTAAAGATTGACTTGAGGCTATTATACGTGCCTTCCAACCAATCTCATGTGTTAAGAATTCCATCCCGCATATTAGCGATATTGAACCCGTGACCTTAGGGGTCTTACAAACTCTGCCATCTGAAGAGTCATAATAGGACACACACGCACACACACACACACACACACTTATATATACATTTATATAAACACATTCATGCGTATATATAAATATACACATTCATGCATGTATGTAAATGTGTGTGTGCGCGCGCGCGCGCCGCAAGCCTTGGCCTGCTGGTGGCAGGGTCACCGTAAGTCCCCTCGGGTCAAGGGTTTCGATCCCACTGTGGTGCGGGGGCTCTGAAATTTTATACACATGGCGCGGGCTCTCATCAAGGGGCCAAAAAGCGCATGGGAAATCCATATTTGAGAATTTGCGAAATATCGATTTATTTTTTTAAATATATACATACATATAATACATATATACATACATACATACATACATAGATATATATATATGTGTGTGTGTGTGTGTGTGTGTGTGTGTGTGTGTGTGTGTGTGTGTGTGTGTGTGTGTGTGAATATATACCTGTTCGCAACCGTGGCCTATTGGAAGGTATCTTCGGCGTAAGTCCCTTCTTCCCCGGGTTTGAATCCCAACTGGGTCGAATTAGCACATATGTGGGATCGGTATTTAAGGGACAAGATGATACGTCCGCCGTAAATACCAATTCCTTTAAAAAGGAAATAAAAAATAAAAAAATATATATAGAACTATGCCTATAGATAGACGCGCACACACCCAAGAGGACTTATGGTTACCTTGCAAGTTGTTTCACTCTCTCTCCTACAATATTTGGATACGGCTGCTCAAATTCATCCTTCCATTTGCATATATATAGATATGTATACCTGATATTGTAAATAAATTATCTCCGGAAATTATGGATCAAATAAATTATCTCCGGAAATTATGGATCACCGTGTTTTGCAAACAAAGAGTGGTGCATTAAAGAAGTATACCATGCTATTTCATTTATGAGTGAATCAATGTAAACATGCTAATTATCTTTAGTAGTTTGCACTTCACATGTTTCAGTAGAAAGGCAGAAAAGGTTGAGAACCTCTCTTGCGTATTAGTTATATTCCTTTATTTTTTTTTAGGATTTGGTGAAAGCAAGTAAATCAATTCACTGTCCCTTGATATTATTTTCTTAACTTATAAAACCACCTTGTTTCGATACCAACAGTTTCCGTACATGGTTGTTGATATCTAACCAGAACTCCGGAGCAATTCAGGAAACTGTAATAAGCTAAGAATGAAAATTCAATTAAATAGAAACTGCTATTATACTTAAAAATCTGTGACATTAACAATTATTATTATTTGTTAGCTGTGGCTAACGTGAAATCTTGTATAGGTTTAACGAATATTGCTATTATGATTGACGTTATGTGATTCAGGTTAAACCATATTATCTTATGCTAATATTTTTTAATTTTTGTGTGTACAGGAAATCTACCAAAGGTGGGCGAAAGGTCATCGCCCGAAGGTTGGCAAAAGGTAGAGCAAGGATTGCAGTGTGACACTCTTTTGATCAGGTTAAGGATTTATTGCGGCTATTTGATCATGCGTTGTAATTCTGTTTTTGGAGTTGTGACAAATCATAACCCTTAGTGCAATTTGCATTAGTAGGTAAGTGTGCGCTAAACATTAGTCTTTTTCCTATAAAGAAATTATTTTGCGATCACATGATCTTTGTTGATCGAACAATTTTCCAAACCATTCGGTGTATTGATTATATCTGTGTTGTTTACTCTTTTGTCTTGTTTCTTCCCATTATTTGAATCTCTTGTTAGAAAGGCGAGTCCAAAGCTGTAGTTTTGATTATGCTGCTATAATGGGGGAGATAATGAATCTGGGTGATGTGGGAGGTTCTCCAGCAGTCTCGCGACTAGTGGGATTCCGCAATTGGGAAATTTGGGTTTGTATTTGTTGTTTCTTTGATTAGAATTTGGGTTTATGAGAGGGTAACTACTTATATTTTGTTAATTTTTTTACTTTTAGTGCACTTTTGTTTGGTTTTGTGTAATTTGGAGATAGTAATTTCCGATTTCTTCTCTAAGGAGTGTTGTATCATCTTTTTGCCAATAGTGTTTTTAGTTTTCTTAGGAACAGGCGATGGATCCCTTTCCTGCCCATACTTCGTCTTTTTGGAAATGGTGTGTCTGTATCTTGTTCATGAACAGGTGATGGATCCTCCTCTCCGCGCTCAGCTAACTTTTGACCCACAAAATTTTTTTTTCCTTACATTACTTGCCTAACACGAGCTCTAGCCCTAAACCTCATTTTTCCTTTTTTTATTGAAACTTTCATTGGAAGATCGAGATGCCATGCTTCTAAGAAACAACCTTCAACGAGGTGTTCATGAGATCACTATAGAGGATATGCAGCGAGAAATTCTTTAATAATAACAAAGGTTTGATTTTTTTAGATGAGATAACTCGGTGGGATCATACATAGTCTCAACGGTGACTTACTAGATCGAGAGGAGGAAGTGAACTCCTTCAATAATAAATTTTTTTTTGAAGAAGAATCAATACATCGACGAGCTGGTGTGGAATATTAGATGAGAAATCATGATGTTTGAGTGAAGGTTGAATTGTTGGATTTTGATGGTGGTTTGGATTTGGACGAGTTCATCGAGTAGCTCCATACAGTATGAGTCTTTGAGTATAAGAATGTTCCACCTGACAAATGGGTAAAATTAGTAATCATTAAATTAAAGAAAAATGTGTTGCTATGGTGAGAAAATTGGAAGTTCCTACGTCAGCGTGAGGAAAAAAATAAAATTATTACTAGGTTCAGGATGAAAAGAGAGACGTAATGCTAGTATTTAATAACACATTATAGACATAACATATTCTTTAGCTTCACCACTTACATTCAAATGTTTTCTCAGTAGAGTAGTACACATTTGGGTTCAAACAACTTATGTTGAAATATGATTCAGTAGAGCTTGAGGAGAATACCATAACTCGATATTTAGGAGAGATTGAGGATGATGTCATTTATTGAACAGGGAGTAGTGAGAAATATTGACAATGACATAGGAGATATATGCGAAGTTGATGACATAAAAGAGAATTTGCTTCCAATTGATGAGGGAGACATGCTATTAATTCGATGGGTCCTTTAGGTTGAGCCTTTGAGAGGAGTAGCAATACTAGCATTGGTTGTTCAAGACATTAATAAGTTCGAGCCGATACCATACATATAGCATCCCTTATTGAGAGGATTTCAAGATTTTCAGACGTATAGCCTACCTCTTAGGTTGCCACTTCTTATGAAGGTTCAACATGTTAGCACTTCAAATAAAGATGAGAAGTTTTTAGCTAATTCTAGAAGACTATATGGGTCAAGTCAACAACACATTTGCAGTAGTGATGAATTGCAATTTGGTAAAACCTTGTGTTAGTTTTTTTTATTGTGTAGCCGTCATATATCTTGAATGACTTCTATCTAAATGATCATATACGACATTCAAAAGAATAATATGCTACCCCGAGGTATAGAAATATTACCTTAGAATGGTTTTAATCACTCTAATCACACAGATGATGAAAAATTTCATGATTTATGCGTTTATGGAATCAAGATTTTTTCCGTTACCTTTTGTAAAATAATTTTATTTTTTTCTACGATCTGATATCTTTATGGGAGGCTACTTCATAGTTAATTACATCTCAAGAGCTATGGCTCCCAAGAATACTCTCGATTAATGTTTTGACTTATATATTTCAAAATTATTGATAAGTGTCTATGAGATATTAGATATTGAAGACTCAGATAGACGTATTGAAATGCTTTTGACATGATTTGATTGGAATTGGAAGATTTGAATGGGCTTGAAAAAGATCGATTTCACTTGAGCTAAAAAACTTGAGTTTGTTGAAGTTTAATTTTAATTTAAGAGTATATTTTAAGGTTGACATTTAAGTTTGAATAATTTAAATTTGTTGTTAAATTATGAAAATTGTCTTTTAAGTTCTATTTGTATTTGTTGAAAAATTGTTTATGTAAGTCTTTTAAAATTGATTTGTTATTGTTGATCAGAATTATAAGGTTTGTTTCAAGTTTATTTCAAGATTTTTTTGAAGATTATTAAAATTGATTAAAAAATTATTAATTTTAAGTTTATTCAAATATTTGAGATTAGTTATTATTTATCAAAGTTAAGTAAAATTCATTAAAGTTTGTTGAATTTAATTTTAAAGTTCTCTTAGAACTTTTTAAGCTTTATTAAAGTTTTGTTAGTTTTTTTAAATTTATTCAAGTTTGTTTAGGTTTATTAGAATTCATTCAAGTTATTCAAGTTTATTAAAGTTTTGTTAAATCTTATTACAATTCTTTTAATTTTATTATTTTTTTATTAATATTTATTAAAGTTTGTTATGTTTTATAATTTAGTTTAAATTTAAAAATTGTTTGAGTTGATTAAATTTTATTGAAGTTTATTAAATTTGGTTTTAAGTTTTAAGATTTTCTAAACCTTAGGGTTTGGGCCCAGAAATTTATCACTGAAAATAGGAATTTTGATATTGTGCTTGAGTTTGAGGTTTGGAATTGCAACCAATTCAAAGTTGAGTTGAACTGAAGTTAACGTGATTTAGAGTTGAGCTAGAATTTGCTCAAAGTTGGGTTGAAATTAGGTTGAGTTGGAATTCAGTTGATATTGGATTTGATATTGAGGTTTGAATTGAGTTGGAACTGAGTTGCGTTGGATTGAAATTTAGCCGAGTTTGGAGTTATGTTTGGGTTGGAATTGAAATTGAGTTTTGAGTTGGGATCGAGAGTTTGAAATAAGGTTGAGTTGATCTAGGCTAGGGGTTTGGAAAGCGCAGGGGATTTCGAGATGGAGGTGAAGCCCTACCATAAAATGACTTTAAAAGAAGATGTAACAACATAAATTTTGGGAATAATGCCCTCGGTCAAGATGCCCACGACTTTCCATCGTCCCGGGAGTATTGATATCTTTAGACTCTTAATCAACAAAATAACATGAGGTCTACCTTGTTGCCATAACAACGACTTAAGGTAAACTGTCCTATTATTATTTTATTTGGGGTACTCTCATCGGTAACCATAGGTTACTTCCTCATAAGGTACCCCTATAGTCCAAAATGGTAGGCCATTTGCCTTATAGGTCTTAGTTCTTAATTTTATCTATTGTGTTCTTAGTAATCGAACCTAGGCTTCTAGACTGCACTACTTTAGGATTTGTGGATCTGGGTTTTATGTTGGCTAACCTATGTTTCACAGTTTAAATCTACCTAGGTTTCACAATTCAAATCTAACCTAGGATTTGATTGTGAAAAATAGAGTTGTTCCCTTCTGTTTTCAATGTTCAGTATTTAAAGCATGATTTGCTTGATTCTTAAGTTTTTTCAGTCATAATGAAAAATATGGGTTCTTTGAAGGATTTGAAGTTTAAGCTTTTCTATGTTGTTGGTTAATATCACAAAACGGGGTTCTTATAAAATTTTGTTTTCACTATGTTATAGTTCTATGTTCTTTCTCTTAAGTTTGTCCTTTAATGTTTTTGAGTTTAGGGATTACATTTAAAATAATTTATCTCAAACCTTTCATGTCTATATTTTTCATGTCTAAGGATCATATATATGCTCAAAAAAATATTTTGTTTTTCATTCAAAAAATTTTTTTATGAAAAGGATTTTATCACAGGAAGAGTGTGAGCGATATAAACTCCTACATATGAATTCTATCCACTTGAAGTGACCCAAGTTTTTTATACTCAAACGCCAAGGCTATGAAATGACATGTTTCTGGAGAGAAACATGTTCATTCTGGAGACACATATGACTAGGAACATTTAAGGGCCCATTTGGGACAGCTTGTTGTGGTGCGACAGCGTTTTGAAAAACGTCACCGCAGAGTTTGGAAAACACGTTCACATAACTTATCGGTGTCGCACCTGTGTCCCCGTTCGAGAATTGTTAAAAGGCTTCGATGCGGGTAATCCCTCGCGTCCCACGTCCGCGACTCGTGTTGCCCTAAGACCTCCAGAGGTGCCCCTGCTCTCCCTCGCCCTCTTCATCTCTGATTTCGTTTCTGCTTCTTCACCCTAGGGGAGATTGACACTTCTCATATGAGGTATGCTTTCCCTAGCTGCGATCCTTGGAAAGAGAACATGTTCTACTTCTCTGTTAGTTTTTTTTCGGAGGTGGAGATCGAAGCAAGCTATTTTCCATAATTTGTGCCAAGCCAAATTTTTGAATTTGTTTAGTAAGTTTTCATTACTTTGCACGGGAATGTTGGGATCTGCTAAAATTTGGGCTCAGATTTGTTGTTGTTCTAAAACTTGGGCTGCGCACTCGTAGAAAACTGTCTGGCCTGCATCTGCTAATTGAAGCTGAAGTTAAAATAGGAAGTATTAGAAGTTTACAACTGAAGTATTTTTTTTAAAAACGAAAGATCAAAATTTTAACAAGGGTGGTCATCCCGAATCTGCTTGGTATAATACTCAAGCTGAGAGTTATTACATTGAGAAATTGTTTCATTTACCTGTCGTAAAAAAGATCTGCATATCCTGAAAAAGGAATTGTTTTATTTACCTGAATTTTTTTTACCTGTCCTACAAATGGTTCAAATTTTAGCTCCCTTCTGATATCCTTAAAAAGGAAAAATCAAAAACAAAAATTTGAGTTTTGAAATAGCAATTTTCATCATTGAAATCAGGAATTTATCAATGGTATGGGAAACATTCTCCATGAATGACATTC